ATATATATATATATATATATATATATATATATATATATATATATATATATATATACTGAAATCATAGCTACAATTCTATATATGGGAAACCACATCTAATGTGATAACACCTAAATGAGGTACTGAGTTGGAGTCTCGAGCTATCGACTGTGGTGCTTGGTGACAGATAGTTGTGAAATGAACCTTCATTTAACAACAATTGATCGTACAAAAACAGTGGCGTATATGTTTACAGACGCCCCCTTTAAGTGGCGTCTACCTACACACGTGTCGTTTTAAATGATGTCACCCACTCCACAAACACACACACATCAAAATTTATGTCATATAACATCATAGTTGTTTTACGACGAGGATAATATTTGCGACTTCCATGTGCCACTGAATGTCACAAACCAAAATGGTTGAATAATCTGCCAAGCACATGCTAATAGTGGTAGCACTCACATCATTCTTAACAATTGACGCCGACAAATTAATCAACTGCAAAACTATACAAGTGTCACTCAATTCAAATCTTTCATATCCTCAAACAATTTCCGGTGAAAGTTCTTTTTAAGCTCTAGATAGCTCTCTTTTGTGACCGTAAGTGTTTATTCAAAGACCTTTTTGTGTAAGCCACCCTTATTTTAATCATTAAACCAACCTTTAAATGTCCTTTCATACAGTCGTCTTACAACGCTCTTTCCATCGTAAGGATCGCCGCCCTCAGCCAATGTTTCATTAAGAGCGATTGCGTATAGAATAACAGTGTCATGAGATATACCGGCAAGTACAGATACCTATGAAATAACAATTATTTTGCGGTCAATGCATTTTATCGAATCATCTTGGGGAAGTTATATTTCGACACTCGTTTTTAATTACAGTCGTTTTTTTAACAAGGAAGTTTGGTTGACAATCAAAAATATATATTTTTTAATCAACTCATAAGTTTTCATTGAAATCCAGGCAACTACTACTAATTACACGTGATGTATTGGCATATCTCAGCACCCAATCTCGATCCCGAGGTTTCATATCATAGTATTTCAGATATTTTGAAAATAAATTCAACTAGGTTTAGAAATTACGCATATTGCCTCCCCATCTATATCACGTAAAGCCATGTACGGGGAATTGTGAAGTGAGATGGTGCTTTAATACGGCAATAGGTTAGTGTTCTTTAAATTCAACTAAATCGCAATCAAAACAAACAAAAGAACTTGCTGGATGATACGCTGATAATTAGTAACCTCACACACAATAACACAAGTCCGGCGTTTAAGTACTTAATGCAATATTCTTTGAGTATATCTAAACTGGGATGCGGTTGATATTGACAATCGGTGAGACGATGCAAACAAGATACATCCCCACGACTAATAAGCGAAATCGAAATTTTTAAGATGATGTTGTAGTTGATGCGGAAACAGTGAGAATAATCAAGCTAAATATCTGAAATACTATGCTATGAGAATTTGGAGACAAGTTTGGAGTAAGTTCTCGGATGGGACTTGTGATTTGATTGAAACAAATATGCATTGATTAGTTCTCCGTACGAGTTGATTATATAGTATGTGTACGAATTGTTTATTAAATTGCATAACGTATCGTATTGCATTTTGTTTTTGTCACGAACACTTTGCGTAATAAACAACCACTGTAATTGATAGGTTTTGACCCTGAAACACTGGATTTAAGAAATTGAAACGTTAATGTTGGTTTGAATTACCACTTCGATCTGATGAGATCGCGGTGTGTCACTGGTAAACGATGCAAATACCTCTTTCGTATGTGATTTAATGTAGTACCAGATATATGTATATTTTGAGCACTTGTAATGTAAAACAAACGTAACACAGATTGCGTGAGTCGAGTAAGCCTTCATAAATTCAACAATATTGCATTTTTTTCCATATTCTGAACAGAATAATTGTGTCAAACTTATATATTCACAACCTATTTTTAGTGTCATTATTTTATTTTATTTAAATGAACGGTTTTATTGATTGATGCTTTTATTTAATCGATTTTAGCCCATAATGGTGTCTTTTACGAAAGCACTAAATTGCCTTTTTAGTGTGATTCAATATGCGCATAGGAACGTTGTTCTCAATTTACTGACTTTATATGTCTTCAATTAAACAACGAGAACACGGATGTGGTTTTGATTCAGCTAACATAATACGAATGCCGTTACCTAGTTTTTTGGCTTATGTTATGCCGAAAAGAAGACGCAGTGAACGTCCTATATTGATCGAGTCGATTCAGCGTAGACAATGAATGGAATTATCATGTTATATTTTCAGTATTTATGTACCGGACATTGGATGTCACTGTTGTCTCCCGTGAACCATTATGCACGAATGGTACACAATGAAATACGAATGCCGACAACTAGTGCAATTCACAACAGAAACCATATACCTGTTCGAGATTACGTGACAGTGCTGTGTGAACATTCTCCTATCATAATGACACTATCGATATTCAATGCACAATCCTGGCGTCAACAGAATTCAAACACAAGCACCAATAAACCTTAACCACGTTTACCCAAAAGACAGTTAGTGAATGAATCTTCGATTGCAGATTTAGCCTTCCCAGTGATCGACCTTTTTTTGGTGTTCAACCCCAAGGAAGATTTGAACTCGGGTCTACTAAGACAACCATTGGGATACTTTAAAACTTGAGATTAGGCGTATCAATATTGACACATCTAGGAAATTAGGTCAGAAATATGCATTTTGCTTGCAGACCCTAACATACCTAAGCGTCTATTTATATATTCATTATTATTGACACGAATTATCTTAGTCAACATGAATAAATAACCCTGCGAAGAAGTACAGCGTTAGTAATGGTAATTAACGGTATTATAATTAAAATGATGGTGTATTTCAAACGGAATGTACAACTTAACCAATACAAGTTTACGAGAATGTTACCTAGATTGATTTGTTATTTATTCATACGAACCTCTTCGTCTGGTCCATACTCGTAATCGAATTCATCTTTAGAACGTTGTTTGACCTCTTCAGCGAACGCAGCAAATTCCTCGTTCTCTGGTTTGTAGAAAGATAAAATGAACAACGCTTCGTAGGCCTTTTTAGCGTCTTCATTCCGTCCATCCGTGCCATTCCAAGAGAAGTCACCAAACATGTCCGTCTGTTTAAAGAACTCGATGCAGAAAAATGCATAGTCCCCGTTGATGAGACCTAAATCATAGGCATGTAGCATGAATTTTCTGACGTGTTCCCCTCTGGCCGAGATGATAATAACTGAAATTGAAATAGACCCAAATTTAATACAAACTCGTTGGCAGACTATACCTCGCATCATTCACATATATGTGTTACCACCATGCTTATGATACCACTAGCGCTTTCGGTTCTCACACATATCAAATCACCATGTAAAATGGACAATAATTCATAACGCATGTTTGTTTCATCGTACAGTTTACATCTGCAATAAACACATTTTATAAACTGATATCTGACATCGTATGACGAATTTCATACATATAGAACAAGTGTATTGCACATTTGAATAACAGACCACGTGATTTAGTCTGACTTCAGACTAAGTGTAATCTTGTTTGTGACATCATCTGTACAAATCCCGCGATGAAGAATTGCACACCAGGAAGGAATAGATTAAAAAGTACATTTGTGAAGATTCCCTTCGGCAAATACAGCGACGTGTTCAGTGAGTCAACATGTAATTTAGTTCTCCCCCAGAAAACATTTACACAATCGTGGATCAGACACTTGGCGACTACAAGTGAAAACTGACAGCATGCTCGGCTTTGAATCTAGTATGACACTAACGGCGCCGTATATTGGATAACAGATTGCGCAGTACGCAGGGCTTCGTAAGAATAACAAAAACAAATCACTGAAGCCTTTCCTCTTGCGTTTCACTGATTTTATTTTCATTACTGTTGAGACGACATAGACTTTGCACGTCATGTTAAGTGTGGTATTGCGCATGATTTTATAAACATGATGAAACTGAAATCTGCAATTACGTGACGCACTGAACGGTTCATCGTGATACACAGCAGACAACGCTATCAACACGTTGGGTCGCACGGTCTGTGTTAATTGGTTACAAATAATAAAGATCGCCTTTAATGTTACCTATGTACTGTTTGTTACGTGCTTAGACTATTATAGTAGGTATTTCACATCATACTAATGCAGTTTAGACGGGATCTATACATTATTATTGTATCAACGCAATACAATTAAATAACATGCGACAAAGATCTCATGTAAACACGTGGTGACAATGTGAAAACTCTTTAGAACCTCACAACAGAGGAAGGAAAAAGTCGATTTTTCGAGTAGTGGTTTACACTCGCTATGTGTGATCATATATGCGTTCACCTTCCACTACCATACTAATGTAGTAACTGTTACTAAAACAACAGTGTATGCTAGTCAAAAATCAAATGTAATTTAATCTGGTCTATTGAAAAAAAATCGAAAAAGCAATTTGAAAATCAAGAAGCATATTAAAACCAGAGAAACATAATGAACATCAGCGTCGGCGACAAATCAGCTCTCCACACATATACATGTATTAAAAACTACTAATATTTCTAATACACGTGTGTTATTACGTATATTACATGACCTACATGTTGCAAAGTGTCAGTCACGATGTATGTATTAACTAAGCAATACAAACAGAGATGTATATTTTCTATGTATAAGTCACATTTGGTCGACACAGCAGCGCTGTTTACATGGACATTGCACACACACATACTCAATTAAATCGTTTCCTTTCCGACCGGAAATTATCATCACAATAATACAGTTCAATAAAAATAAAAAACGATTCTTTGACGGAAACGACGAATGTATGCATTTCGTAAACATTACAACAGTATACTGTTAGTTGAAACATTTTGAATATTAAACTTATGTTCACGGCTAATGCTAAAAGGAATATTATTAATAGTGAACAGATTTGTATGAATAATTGCTCTACTGTCATTAGAAAACTATTTAAAAATTGTAAAGTACAGCAAATAAAGAGCTTGGTATTGCTCTGTATGTTGTAAACCAGAGGTATATATGCCCCGGACACGTAAAAAAGTACAACGCCCGTGATTAACGGCTATCTTTGAAAATCTGACGCTGCGTTGACAACTTTACGTAAATTCAAATCAGTGGAAGTGTGAAGCACAGTTTTGCATATAACAACTATTCAAGTATCAGATACTGTCAACCCAGACTGTTAACAAGGAAAGAGCCTAATTCCCCAAAACATGTCCGGTGATTTGTTACCAATATATACACATATTAATGACCTTGGGGTTATTTTTTACCTCCATTCGCACACTGACATGATATTGTTTCCACTGTTTATAGTCTGGATTAGATGTAATTGGCATTTGAATAAGTACAAAGCAAAACACCTGTAATTTTAAATTATACAATTTATATTGTTCAGAGACAAATTGTCAAAGGTATCGGCGTTGAGCCGAACCAATGATATTACATGTCTTGAAATGTTGATATATTGTCTACAATATTTGGAACTATAGAAACAGGTTAGCTGAATAATTGTAGTAACATATCGACACTTGGCAGTACTTCAGCGCCAAATCATCTTCCAAACCCTTGCAATGAGCTTGGTTGCAAAAACTCATCTCGTATATTGAACGCGTTAAATATTAACCTAATGTTTGAATTCCACAACAATAGTTTAATTTGTCATGTCTACCACTATTATTCCCCTATATCTTCTTCTGACGAGAACATACATTTCAAACAAAGACAATTTTACATGTGTTTAGATGACGTAAGCAAATAAAATACGCGTTGTCTGAAAAAACCCATATTGATTAGAGCTGAAAATGTGTTTAAGTGAATTGCATTAAGTACAAAATTAATCAATCGTAAGCAAGAAGGTACGGAAACGATTTCGAACCAAATTAAAAAGATGGCGTTTTACCTCACCATATATATGTAAAATAACACGAATATACACTCTCTGCTATGGAATGCTATTGACATGTACCTCGATACTATATATTTACACAATAGGTGCTGTCAATTTTATTGATAATTTAGGCTACGATTTATTATGCACTAAAATTTCTTTTGGTCCAAAATATATTGTTTATCCGCTTTGTATTAATATTACGTAGCTGTAACGAGCATTAGCATTTATGTGCGCATTTACGAATATCGAATCTAAACACTAAAAGCTTTTCAAAGTTATCCATAATCTCTCATTAATGCTCAAAACATAGTATTCTGTTTTCGTCGAAGAAAGGTATATGCCAGGCAAACCATTAACATTATGTTTATAAATGATTTCTGACGTCAGTAGATTGCAATACGAGATTCCGTTGCAAATCAAATTATTTTAGGCTGAACCCTCTGTGGGGGCCATTGTGATACGGTTTTTAGTGATGTACTATATTACAAATGGTAAATTAGATGACGTAATCCACTGATAAACCTGAAATACGAGATGAGGACATGCACAATGCAATTAAGAAATAGACATGAATATATTTCTATATATGTTGGTTCATTTGTTGCAATGTAGTTGATATTATCAATATTGGTTCATGACAAATACAATGTTTCTTCGACTTTTCGATGTTTTTTTACTCGTTTTTTGACTGAGGCAATTCCGTTTCGTAATTGGAGTGTACTAGTTATGTGCACTTTCATAATTGATCAATATGTGACACACAGTTTCAAATGTATGGGTACTTAGCGAATATTTAATAGAATATTTTATATTCGCTAGTTTAGGAACAGTAGTTTGGCAAATCAAAATACATGATGTTTGAAGGCACTCTTCACAACAAATATTTTTGTATCCCATAAAAATAACAAGCACGTGTTAGAAGTACGCACACTGTGTTGTCCAATGCTACCATAGTTACTCGGCTACTTTTATGGCTCCTGATTTCTTAAGACCGGAGATAAGGTGTGTTATTGCTCAAAGTAATAAGAATTGTTTTGCTCGTATCAACACTGCCTTTAGCAATACTACATGTTGTCTCTTATATTAGCTGCGAATAACTTTTAAGTCTCCATGATACTAATGGGTAAAATACCGGTCTTATTTGACTCGAAATTGTAAAAAACTTGTCGCTTCTTTGGACATTATTGGTGATTACAATTTTGTGATTAGGCAATTGTTTGTAGTTTCCAAATATTTGTATGTGCAACATGTCAGCGGTCCAACTTTGTTTGTTCGTGTGGTGCTTATATATTTAAATAATAAAAATTAACATCGACATCATGAGAATTGAACGTGATTTTCATACCCGTTAAAAAATTCAAATCATTAGAACACATTGGTATAGCACGTGAATAGATGCAACGACATTTGAAATGAGTTCTGCATTTCTATTCGTGTATTTGTGTCTGTGTTAGGTATCTCAAAAAATGTTTCCCGTGTTGCCCTTTTCTAATTGATTGCCAGTTATAAGCTCTCGACGTTGCACAAACAAACAAGCAGACAACGCCATACCCTGAACAGATTAAACAAGAAGTGTATGATAAAAAAATGCAGGATACACATATTCTCTAAAATTGAAAAATTATTCATAATGATTAATATGACTTCAATTGTGAGATACTTTATACCTGGTAATACCGCGTAGTTTTATTTATGTGTGTTTTAATTGCGAGTCATTTTAAAATTGCAAAGATTTTGTAAACGTCTCCTTCACTGCGACTCACAATCAAGTACCCGCATGACTGCCATCATTTATTACTACGACACGACTTTGTCTGTTCACCCATTTTCTCGTAATTAAGGCAGGTTCGTAATGGTTATATATAGAGTGCCTGTTTGAGTATGAAATGTTGGCGCCAAATGTGTCCAGTCTGACACAAAAGTACTCGGAGATGACACTTGCGTAATGTACTTTCGTTTTTTTCATTTACACGTAAATGCTTATCACCGTCTGTATCCGTGGGCGTTATCAGCGAAAGATGAATATCATGCAAATTGCGCAAACAATTAAAAATAGCTCATATTATGCAAAATTGCTACTACTCCTCAAATTAAAATCGCTGTTATAAAAGTTTATAACATTAGGCGACCCCGTTATGCCTAGGGCCAGGCTATATTTCAACATTTAATAGGAATGCAAGTCACTTAGCTAGTTGCATTCGTCAGAAAATGGGTTATTGAAACAGTGACGGTGAATGTCCGCAAGCTATAGTGGTAATACTTCAAATTGTACACCCGTATTAAACCTTGTTGTTGCCATCGCTCAGCGTGGGTCTGC